AGGGGAGGACGGGGCTGGAATAACAGGCACAGGCTGGCGCGCCTAGAGCCAGTGGGAGCCCCAGAAGTTCTGGGGAGTGGAGAGAAATCGCCCAATTGGCATTTACGTGATCGCTCTGGCTGCAGTGAGAATATTGAATTACCAGGGCTGCTTTGGCAGAGCTGCATCCGAATGACTCCCCTGTCTCACTCTCCTTTCCGGTAGACAGAGAGATTGGAGTAAATGCACGCCAGATACGCCGTTGAAAGCACCCCAACAATGAAGGGCTGTGTGCTCGGAGGAGAGCACACTGCCCCAGTCAGGCCCAGGCAGATCAGATCTCCACACCACCTCCTGCGGGCCTGTGGCACCCAGGGAGCCACTCACCCTCTAACCCCCACTTCCCACCCAGTCTGAAAAATGGGGACAGTTATGCTCACTCCGCTGAGTTGAATGAGCAAAGGAAAGAGTGTGTGCAATTTACCTGGCATTTGGCAGAACACAGGGCATACCAGCCGTTATTGGAAGTAATCGCAATGCAGTCGAGCTGGTCAGAGGAAGGCATCTCAACCAAAGTCGTACCAGCAAAAACACTGGGAACAGAGCACAGGCTCTCCTATGAAAATATATAAATACATGCAATATTATACATGTGGATACATTTTTGTAGACAGCTATCTAATGAAATCGTCCTAATACTAGTGTTGGGAAACAAGTCTATGTAACTTATGCAATTAAAATATAGACATATACAATACAGTTTAAAATTTTTCTCAATAAATTCTGTCATACACGAATTGCCTTATTGCTGCCTTTTCCTGTAGGCAGTTGCTCTCTGGAGAAGCTGAGCGTACTTGTGAGCCTCCGGACTGCACACTAGCTTCTCAAGAATAACTTTATCTCTGTTTCTGCAGAGCCTCCTGGAGAGCCTGGCACACTCAGTAGTAGGTGCTCATTAAATACTTGCCAAAGGGCCCTGGCTGGGTAGCTCAGTTGGTTAGAGTGGTGTCCCGATACATCAAGGTTGCAGGTTTGATCCCCCGTCAGGACACATACAAGAAGCAACCAATGATGCATAAATAAGTGAACAACAGGTTGACCTTTCCCCCTCCCTCCCCCACCTTTCCTCTCTATCTAAAGATCAATAAATAAAAATTTTTAAAAAATACCTGCAGAAAGGAAAAATAAAGAATGAATGAATAAATTTAACTTCTGAGTCTGACAACTATATGTTATAAGCCAAAATCAAGACATGCTATATGTTCTACAGAATATGAGTGTCCTAGAGAGAGCACGGCATAAACTATTTGAAATCCAGACCAACCTGGAAAGTTCAGGATAGCTAATCCACATATACCTCAAAATAACTGCATCTGTTTTAAAGGAGCCACGACAAGCAGCTAGAACGAGCGCCACTGTGACCTTGGGTTACGCTGATTTTTCAGCATAAAAACTGTTCCAAGCCCTTTGTGCAGGGTAGAAAGAACAATCTAGAAGCTTTTAAAGGATTTCTGTTCAACCACTGGCACAAGGACTCGGGATCCACTTTTCCCTTATCTCACTTGGTGTAATTAATGAGTCGCCCTGATGGGACATCTACTGGCACAGAGCAAGCGAGTGAAACAGCCATACATTTTGTTTGTTAAGCGCAGCTGAGCCCAGCTCAACAGAGCATCGATTCAAAAGAGGGAAATAAAATATGCGGCAGAGTTGGGAGACGAGAAACAAAGAATCCAGTATGACAATCAACAGGAGAGCCGAAGGAGCACGCAGACGACCATCAGGATGCATCTAGAGAAGTAAGCTGGAGGGGAAAGCCCGACGAAAGCTGAAAAGACCAATTTTAAATCAATGAAGACATTGAAAACTTTGTTCTAACGGAATATTTTTAAGAGTCAGGTTTATTGAAGTATAATTTATATACAATACCGTGCACCTCTACAAGTTTTAAACACCATGTTCAGTCGTATAGCTACCGTCTCGATGGCTGAGAACAGTTTCACCCCCCCACGTTCCCAGGGCCCCTTTGTGATCCACCCCTCCCTCGCCCTTAGCTCCTCAACCCCCCTCTCACCCTTAGCTCCTGGCAACCCCTCTTCTGTTTTCTGTTCCTCTAGTTTTGCCTGCTTTAAAGGAATTTAATTTAATAATGGAACTTAAAATGGGGAGGGGAGAGGAACTGAGATTTTTTTTCCTTCCACCCACTCAATTCCTACACCTGTGAACAGCATCCTTTAGTGAACTTTTATATATTAAGGACCTTTTATTTGCCAAACATTTTACCTACATGCTCTTTCCTTTTCGTAGCTTGTCCACAAAGGAGGTTGTCCCCGTTTCCCAGATGGGTAAGACACTCAAGCAGGTGTCAGGCTGATAAGAGGCAGAGCAGAGATTCAAAAATCTAAGTTGACAAAAAAAATGTCACCATGGCTTACCTCTGGGTGTTAGATTCTAGCTGATCTGTGCTTGCTTCTTTATACAGTATTTGTACTATCAAGGTTTTCAACAATGAGCTTATATTTTAAGAAAAGTTATTTTTCTAAATAAATATATAAATACATACTACATACACTACATACATGCACACATATATACAACATTTATTTAATAGCTGTTTGCTGAGAGAGGAAAAAAATGGTTTAGAAAGGAATGAAGGAAAGGCTCCTCTTAGCAACTGGTACCCATGCAGAAGGGAGAAGCCAGAACCAAATTTACCAAAAGAACCAGAGTCCAGCTTTGCTCTGTCTCTGGAGCCCGTCACATCTAACATCTCTACCTTCAAAAAGTTCTCTAGCACAAGTGATCTTCCAAAGTGCCGAAGATGGGCCCTGGAGGCCCAGGGAGACCCACTGAGGTGGCCCCAGCCCCAGCAGACAGCCCTCATCGCCATCGCCGGACACCAGGTGGGAACAAGCTGACCACAGCAGGCACGGGGGCGCACAGCACTCTCACCACGCCTGAGAGGCAGGAGCGTGAGCGACAAGGCCAAGGCTACCGGGACACAGGGCACTTTTTATTGGGAGGGAGGGGATCACCTCTGAACCTGACTATGCTGAGGGAATATTATTCATCCCAGGGCTGCAAGGGGACTCCTGAGAGCATCCTCTGGCCTTTAGGCAGAACCCATTTATTCCTTGTTCCAAAAAATATCTGAGGGATCTTACAAAAATGTATGTAATACAAGAATTTTTAAAAAATAGATTAGGGCCCTGGCCAGTGTGGTCCAGTGGTTAGAGCATCAGCCCTCGCACGGAGGGGTCTCCCAATCAAGGGCACATACCTGGGTTGCAGGTTCAGTCCTTGGCCCTGGTCTGGGTGAGCGCAGGAGGCAGCCAACTGATGTGCCTCTCTCACGGCAATGTTTCTCTCTCTTTCTCTCTCTCTCTCTGTCTCCCCCCCTCCTTTCCACTCTCTCTAAAAACCACTGGAAAAAAATATCCTCAGGTGAGGATTAAAAAAGAAAGATTAGGTACTAGAACTGGGTACCCAAGTGGAAAAACCATGAACCTTGACCCCCTACCTCCCACATTATACGAAAATTAATTTAAGAGGGATCATAGACCTAAATGTACAAATGAAAACTATAAAGCTTCTGGAAGAAAAAGGGGGGAATCTTCACACCTTAGGATAAGCAATGGTTTCTTAGAATACAAGAAGCAACAACCATTTAAAAATTGATAAACTAGATTACACCAAAATGTAAAACTTGCTCATAAAAAGACAGTGTTCATGAAATACAGAAGAAATCCACAGACTGATATACAATTTTTGTCAAACATATATCTGACAAAAAATTGGTATCTAGAATATATAAAGAACTCCCATACCTCAAAAATTAAAAACACAAACAAAAACAAAACCACCTTAATTTGGACTGACTTGCACAGACATTCCATAAAGGAAGGTGCGTAAATGGCTGAGTTGTTGAAAAGATGCTCAACATCATTATTCATCATTATTCATTAACGCAACAATGAGGTGCTGCTACCCACACGAGAGGCTAAAATTTTAATAAGACTGACAACACTAAGTGTTGGGAGGACACAGAACAACCTAAACTCTCAGACTCTGATGATGACACAATCACTTTGGGAAAAGGTCTGACAGTTTCTCAGGAAACGAAACACACCTACCCTCCAACACAGAAATTCCACTCCCAGGTTGTAGCCAAGAGCTGTGAGAGCACGTCCGCAGAGCCTTATACAAAACGCTCATGGCAGCTTTGATTGCTAAGCACACTGAGGTGCATTCATACAATGGAATGCTGCCCGGCAGTGTAAAGAACCGACTGATGCACACAACAGTGTGAGTGAATCTTGAGAACACTATGCTGAGTGAAGGACTTATGTAAGAGGACATACTGTGTGATTCCATTTATATGAAGTCCTAAAACAGGCCAAACTAATTATGGTGTGGAAAAAAATCAGGACAGCAGTTGCCTCTGAGGTTGTGGGGAAGAAAGAAAAGTCATGAAAAAACGTGCTGGACAGATTGGAATATTCTATATCTTGATAAGGATTTGTGTTACACAAATGTACCTACCTGTCAAAAATCATTGAGTGGTACACTTGAGGTGTGTGCACTTTGTTGAATGTAAAATTTACCTCACTAAAAAACAAACAAAAAACCTATAACCAAATATTGAACTTTAGTTAATGATATGCATACTAAAATGTATAGGGATAAAGTGTAGAGATATTTACAATTTACTTTGAAATATATCAAAAAACAATCGATATAATTGTGTAATAAAGCAAGTACAGGAAAAGGTTAATTGTGGAATCCAAATGGCAGATATATGGGTGTTAACTATAAAATTATTTCATCTTTTCTAGATATTTAAAAATTTTTATAGTGAAATGTTGGAAAAAATAATTGTATCCAAAGACAGATAGGCCCTTGAATATCGATAAGAAATATTCTATCATGTCTTATTGATCTACTTCAATGTATCTTGCTAAATCCTTTCCTCTCTGAACATGTACCATATGTTATGCACCATCCGGAATGATAATAATAGCTCTCTTATACCATATTTCAACTATTCTAAGATGCATCACTTTTTTCCACATCTTGACATTCTGAAATCAGAACAGGCCTTATAATCAATGGCATACCATAAGTGGTGGGATTTTTTTTCTCAATGGGACATAAAATAATAGTGTTTCTTAAAATCAATGGCATATTATATTTCATAAAACACAATAACTAGTGCTTCATGGTTCAAAGTATTTTCATCTTATTTGGGTCTCACAACATCATATTTTGGTGAGATAGGTTCCTATTCTAAATATAGAAGTTGAGATTCAGAAAGTTTAAATGACCTCTCTCTCCAAAGTCCTCAGTTAGACTAGGATGAAGCTATTGCTTTAATATGAACTCTCTGAATTTGAAATATCTTGTTTTCTCCCAATGTCACATAAAATATTTAGGGAATGAAATCTCCTTGGAGACAGGGAATTTGTTTTATTCACTATTATAGTGACAGGGCATAGAACATTGCTTGGCCCATAGCAAGTATTTAATAAATATTTACTAAATGAATGAATATTACAGAAGAGAATAAAAGGTCAGCGGGAAAGGCCTATGGGATGTAGTGAGCTGAAAAGTTTATAT